CATATATACAAGATAGCTAACATAGTTGTACTACTGACTTCTATCACTTTACTGAAAGGAACAGTTAATGATTATTTATTTGATCAATCTTGCATGTCTCTATTTGTTTTCCTGAGTAACCACTTTAAAGATATCAATATGTAATACAACAACCATTGTTAATTTCCTACCACTTTGTCTGTAACTCTGTATTGCCTGTATTGTTCTTATGCTGTTTTGTAAAAGGATGTGTTTGTTAGTATGTTTTCCTTCTTTATTTTTAAAATAATTTTTTTTAAAAGACAAGTTTATCCTTCTTTATGGCTAAGTAATACTCCACTGTAGGAAAAAAACCCACCTTTTTTATCCATTCCTCGGCTGATGGGCATTTGGGTTGTTTCTAATATCTAGCTATTACAAATTGTGCTGCTATAAACATGGGTGCACATACATAGCTGTGGTATAATGTTTTTGATTCTTCTGAAAGATACCCAGATGGGGAATAGCTGGGTCAAATGGGACCTCCAATCCTAGTTTTTTGAGAAATCTCCACACTGATTTCCACTGTGGTTGCAGCAGTCTACACCCCCACCAACAGTGGAGGAGGGTTCTCATGAAGTAAGATGGAATCTCAGTGTTGTTTTAATTTGCATCTCTCAAATGACCAGTGGTGTTGAACCTTTTTTCATATATTTACTTGCTGTTTGTATTTCTTCACCTGAGAAGTGTGTATTCATTCCAGATGCCCATTTTTGGACTGGGTCTTTAAATCTGGGAGGTCTGAATTTTTTGAGTTCTTTATATGTTCTCAATAGTAACCTCTGTCTGAGGAACAGGTGGCAAACATTTTTTCCCACACTGTGGGTTGTCTCTTCACTCTGTTAGTGATTTCTCTGGCTGTGCAAAAGCTTTTTAATGAGATGAGATCCCAGTTGTTGATTCTTTGTGATGGTTCCAGTGCAATCAGGGTTTTATTCATAAAATCTTTGCCTACACCAATGTCTTCAAGAATTTTACCTATTCTTTCAGCAAATGTAATGTTTCTGTTTAATATTTAGATCTTTGATCCATTTCAAATTTAGTTTAGTGCATGGTGAATGACATGGGTCCAATGTTAATATTCAGCATGTGCGGAGCCAGTTTTTCCAGCATTTATTGAAGAGGCTATTTTTCATCTAGTGATTGTATTTGGCGCCTTTGTCAAAGATAGGTGGCTGAGTATGTCTGGAGTTGTTTCTACATCTGTTCCACTGATCTTCAGATCTGTTTTTTTTTTGCCAGTACCATATTGTTTTTATCACAGTAGTTTTACAGTATAATTCAAGTCAGGGATTGTGATGCTCCCCTGCCTTGCCTTTGTCACCCAGAACCGTCTTTCCTATTCTAGGTCTCTGCTGATTCCAAATGAATTTTAGGATTATTTTCCCTAATTCTGTGAGATATGCTGTTCGAATTTTGACAGGAATTACATTAAACTGAATAATAGTTTTGAAGGTATGGCCATTTTCATTATATTGGTTCTTCCTATCCAGGAGCAAGGGATATCTTTCCATTTTCTGATATCCTCTTTAATCTCCTTTTTCAGAGTACTGTAGTTTTCAATGTAGAGATCTTTTATAACCTTTGTTAGATTGACTCCTAGGCATTTCATTTTTTTGGATGCTACTGTGAAAGGTGTTATTTTCCTAATTTCTCTCTCAGAGAGTTTGTGATGCATATACAGGAAGGCGTTTGATTTTTGAGTGTTGACTTTGTATCCAGCTATACTACTGAACTTGCTTATTAAATCTAGCAATTTTTTTAGTAGAGTTTTTGGGGTCTTCTATGTAGAGTATCAAGTCATCTGCAAAAAATGGTAATTTAACTTCTTCCTTTCCTATCGCTATTCCTTTTACTTCTCAGAAAAATATCTTTAAATTTAAATCTGGTCCTACATGGCCCATGGCCCACCTTTAACTTTTCAGAGGCCTCTAACATGACTTTGGGATAAAACCCAAATTCTTCCACAAGGCCCGCATGACCTCCCCAGCTTCCCTCCCCTTACCTCTTCCCACCTCCCTTCCAGAACACAATAGCTTGGGCCCTGCAGCATATCCTTCCCTGCCTGGGTCACGCCATGTTCCCTCTTGCCTTTGGACTTCCACACCTACTCTGTGCCTGGAACACCCTTCCTCTCCTTTCTTTGTCCAAGTAATTCCTCCTATCTTAGTACAGTAGCCCACCCTTACCTATGCTTTTGATTCTGCAGGTTCAGTTACCTATAAAGGTAAGTGAACAGTGGTCCACCAAGGTCTAAAAATATTAAGCAGAAAAACAAACAAACAATTCATATTTTTCTAATGCATGCATGCCATTCTGATTAGCACGATAAAGTCGCGTATTCCCCAGCTCCGTTCCCAACACCTGAATCATCCCTTTGTCTAGCACACACACACTGTACATACACTGCCCACCTTTGGGCACTTAGCAGTCACCTTGGTGAGCTCACCACCTGTATCGCAGTGCTTTCATTCAAGGAAGCTTCACATTGCGGCCTAGAGCTGCATCACTATGTCTGCATCATCCACCTCACTTGACGTTGCCACGCAGACACCACACCACACCAGCATCACCGCAAGAAGGTGAATGCAGCACAGATTTTCAGAGATAGGAAGATCATATTCACACATTTTTGCTACAGAATGTCATTGTGGTTATTCTATTTATTATGTTGTTAATTTCCTACTTTATATAAATTAAATTTTATCAAAGGTATGTATGGAAAAAAACAGCACACCCAAGGTTCAACACTCTTGGGTTTCCAGCATCCACTGGGAGTCCTGCAACTCACGGAGGGGGCTGTATTCCCCCAGGAAGCTCCTTCTCATCCCTCTAACATGAATTTGATACATATTATGCTAACCCAGCATTTTCCCATCCACTCTTATCATTCTGTTCCTGTCTTCCACCCTTTCCATCTAAGTAGAAGGTAAGCTTAAATTTACACATGAAAGTCAGGAACTATTACTGCTGTGTACAATACAAGATGCACAGGAAATATCTGTTGAACAAAGACATAAAGGATCCAGTGGAACCAATGAATCACCTGTCAGGCATCTATCAGGCCCCTCCCAGGACCTTTCCAATTACTTCTCTCCCAGGACTTCTTTGCAAAGCCCTCCAAGTGCTCTTTTCTTCTCTTTCACGGGCTCCAGGAATTCTGACTCTTCCTCTTTGAAGGCTGCCCACACATTCTATTCTATTCCATCCCCTAGGCCCTCTGCCCCTAGTTCACCTGCTGGGCACCTGTAGTTTCCCTAGGAAGATGAGTCCATCAGCTTTCTAAGGGCTTCACTGCTGATCAGGTGGGACAAAGACACAGTTATTTGTGTGGAACTTCTCATAGTCTGGTGGCTCCTGCCTCTCTGCAGATGGCGCTTGGAAAGGTCAGCACCCTGAGGGGAAGGCTTAACAAAAAGGCACCCTCCACAGAGGTTTCTCTTCTTTGCACTGTGGTCTCAAATGAGTAAACTGAGGTACTACTCATTCACTGTACCAAGGTGCACAGAGAAGTAACTCACTTCCCTAATCACAAAACTTCCATTTTCCAGATCAAAGCTAAGAAAAGGCTTCAGCACACCCAATGAATACTGACTTTTCCAAAGGCTCAAGTTAAGACACTTACCTAAACAAGGAGATCACAGGCTTTCCCACAGGGCCTACTTACTGTCTTTCACAGATAATCCTAAAAATATGGCTCATCTAATTTCCCAACCCATAAACAAAAACAAGCGGCAGACTCAGATCTTTAAAAATGGCACGGAGAGAGACATCAAAGCAAAGAGCACTTGGGGACAAGAGCCCAAACAACGTGACGGTCATAGAATATTAGGGGACACTGAGTGGCCAAGGACAGGAACCATGGTCAGAATCTCTGGAGTAATCACTCACGCTGGAGCCATTTCCATCAAATTCCATACAAGCTGGTCTCTTCAATAGCCAGGCAACCTGGACGTCTCACTTATACTAACTCAATCTTTATTCAGTGACCACCGAACAGAGCAAGAGTACCAAAATGCAAGATTCGTGGTCAAGAATAAAATCGTATCTATCATAACAGATTTGTATCAAAAGTATGGCTGTAAGATATGATGAACATAAAGATGCCTAGAGGCCCAACTCTCCATCCATTTCTCTGAACTAAACAGCATACATTCTATTCTGCATCATCAAAGAATTCTATACTTGATCTACACTGTTTTGTTTTGGGGCCCTTACACTATAATAATTTCTGCCTCTGGCCAGCATTAAAACATGTAAGGAGGGGCTGGGGATGTAGCTAAGTGGAGAGTACTTGCCTAGGATTCACAAGGCCTGGGTTTGATCCCTAGCACTTGAAAAAAAAAAAAAAAGATGTAATGGAAAACAGGTCAAAAAAAATTCACTAGTATTTATTGTGGAGACATGGTCACTCATGTTGCCTTTGGAAAGAACCACAGAGGAATTTCCCTCTGACTGTGCCAAGTAAAACTGGGCTTCTCTTGATTTACTGGCTTGTCTTACCTCATGAGTAATGCAAATCTCATGTCCACCAAGGCTGTTTTTCCTTTTTCCCTTTGGCTACCAGGAAGCTTATAGCCAAAACTAAATGCAAGATTTTGCATCTAAGTAGAACCAACCTTTCAATAAGAATTTCTATTCCCTAATTCTGCCTCTGTCCTCATACTACCACCTTATTCCTTTCTACCATCTTATTCCTTTTTTTTTTTTTTTTTTTTGGTTTTTCTCCGGTACCGGGAACTGAACTCACGACCTTGCATTTGCCAGCCAGGCGCTTTGCCGCTGAGCTAAATCCCCAGCTCCTTCTACCATCTTATTCCTTTCTGATTTCACCCCTATTTTTGTACCTTACTGTGCTGCATACATTCCAGTAAGTCACTCAAGCTCTGTGGGGAACTGAGAGAAGGGAAGGAATGGGAGCAACCCCTCCCCCGTGCTGCCAGTAATGACATGTTAGGGCTTCACAGGGATCGGAGCCAGACCTGTCCTTCTCTTCCAGGGCCAGAGCCGTGTCCAAGTCGCCTGCAAGCATCTTCTTCATCTCTGAAAGCTTGCTTTCCAAGCTCAGCCGAAGAGCCTTCTCTGTTTCCGTCCCTGCAAAGGCCTTTTCCAGTTCTGCTTGAGCGGCTTTCACATCCTAGAGTTAAATTAAATGCATTTGATGCAATTTTTCAATACAATTGGGAACATTTTGAAAGGAAATTGGATTAAAATATAAATATTTATGACTTTTTCTCCGGCACATTTCCCCTCCCTGAATTGTACTATACATGGAGAGAATCAGTAATAAATACATTTGCCAGCCATTTTTCCCTCTTGTATCCTGAAGAGTAATAGGTATTTCCAATGGAAAAGACTCAACTCTACAAAAACTGTACTTTCGGTTTTGAAAAATCAGATCAATATTTACAGCTTCAATGAGAACAGGAGAAAATGCACTTCTCAATACTAAACATACATAAATTCCAAAAAGTCACCTTAATCTCCATATGAATTCATCCAGCACCCCACCGCCCCCTCACTATTTCTTTTTAAGATAATGACTACACAATTCTAAAGTACATTTTCTGTACCTCCAAGGAGATTTAGGTGGTGAAAATCTCTATGTTCTTCCTGAGAGCTCAGCCACCAAGAAAATTACCTAAACCACACAGGCAGTGTCTGTGTTCGGGGCAAAAGAACTCAGTGCTTAAGCAAGGGACCGGGGAGTCGGTCCGAATCTCCACTACCCATGTCCACTGCCTGTGATCGCATCACAGAGATAAAGTCAGATCAAAATGGGCTCAAGCCCCAGCTCTGCTCCTCACCTATGACATCTCTGAGGCGCAGCCGCCTAATCTATAAAACAGGGACAACCACTTTTCCATCAAAGGGCTTCTGTGAGATTCCGTCAAAAACCTGTTGCATCACAAGAAGCTCCAGACTGTTGGCTTCCTTCTCACTGCCCTTTCCCTGTGCAGCGTCTCCTCAGCAACAGCCACCCCAGAGGCTTACCTGTCAGTCTTAACAAAAGCCGGGAAAACACATCTCCCATACTCTGAGACGCAAGCAACAAAGCCTGTTATTTACTGAGTGCCTACTAAATGCCAAGTTCTGAGTAAGAAGCTTTATTTATATCCTACCCGGTCCTCCCCAACCCTAAAACATTATATACTGAGATAGTATAGCTGTGTACAATGCAGGTCGGCAGCCAGGCCTCTTGACATTTACTGCCCATATGACCTTGTTCGAGCGACTTAGCCATTTTGTGCCCATTTCATCATCCATTTATTTTTTTAATGGTAACAAAGTTTTACTGAAGGTAGGAAAACCAATAGGCTCTGCACAGCAACTTTGGGCCAGGTAAAGGTAGGAAAAGAAGTACATCTTACAGCATGAGGCGGGGCCACCACGCAAGAGAGAACATACTAGCCCATCATCTGTTTAAAACAGAAGGAAAAGGAAAAGGGTGATGGAGATATTTCCTTCGTCAGTTAACTGAAAGGGGTGATTAAGTCTGCATACATAAAGGCCTAGGAGGTGCCTCCCCAGCAAAAGCCCACACCGGACTATGCAAACCGCTCTTGTTAGGACAATGACTACTGCAGAGCAGGTGTGCTATCCTTACCTCGCGGTGAAAAGGCAGAGGCTCAGGGAAGGCAAATGCCTCGCCCAAGTCGATAAAGACAGCAAGCGACAGAGCGCAGGCTAGGTACCCCAAAGCACCAGGAAGCATATCCGGTTATATCTCTTACAAGCAGCACAATTAACTAAACCCCGGAAGACCCTGCTTTGGGTTCTAGTTCTGTCACTTATGATTTAGACCATTTCTCTACTCTTTCTGAACCTCAGATTCCTCAACTGTACTTTGGTCCTAACAGCTAAATTTCCCCAAGGGGAGGAGACAAGGGCTGACACACACATCATGGAAGGAAAAGTATACACTGAAAACCACTGTATCTGCCTTTTTATTTCCAAAAGTGGTTTTTGGTGCCATTACTCTTTGCATACACTAAAAAGAATCAGAGTCTCAGGTAAAAAATTGAGATAAAACAATTCAAAAGACCAAAAATTAGGCAATCAATATAGCTTGAGCACTTCGAATCCAAAAAGTCCAAACTCTAAGATGTTCCAACATCCCAAACTTTCTATGCACCAACATGATATTATTGCAAGTGGAAAATTCCATAAGACCTCATATGACAAGATGCAGTCAAATGCAGGCACACTACAAATATGTAAAACGATCTTCGGACCTCTATATAAGGTATATAGGAAAGACGAATGAGTATCATGCTTAGGCTTGGGTTCCATACCCAAGATGTCTCGTAACATACATGCAAATATTCTAAAGTCCAAACACCCCAAATCTGAAACACTTCTGGTCCCAAGCATTTCAGATAAGGACTATTCAACCTGTATTAATGAATGCTAGCTTAAAAGGGTAGAAAACTTTATAACATTCAGGAAACCACCTGATACCCCCTCTAATCACAGGAAATGCCTAACTAAGAACAAGGAGGAGAAGCTACATATCAGGCCTCACAGAAAAGTCATTCAGTGAACACGGGCAACGTGGCTGGATGGAAGGTAGATATGGAAGACAGAACCTGGCAATGGCTCAAAGGCAGCTGGATGGGCAGGCTCCAAGGCCGGCCAACAACAGGTCAAGTCTTCCCTCTTCTCTAGGCCTCAGCTTCCTCATCTTTAAAGTAAAGGAACCAAACTAGAGGGTAGAGTGGTGTTGCAGAAAGAGTACAGGCTTTAAAGTAGCAGTCACAGCTTTAAAGCCAAGATTCAATGGGGCCCTGTTAGTACTTCTCTCAGTGCCTCGGTGTCCTCAATGGGAACAAACCCTATGGTGGGTTTGCAGGATGGGAGTAACGGTTATCAATTACATATGCAAAGTGCCTAAAATGGGGCTGGAGCCCAGGAGACGCTTAATAAGGGACAGGGGGCTGTTGTTTCTGCTGAGACTGTTTATGAAAGAAGGACAAGATCATGTCCATCCAATTATTAACCCACTGTAAGAAGCACAGGGCCCCAGGATTTCCACACTTGCCCCTTCCAGGAGGAGTATCCTTTTGGTCAGGCGATCTTCCACCTGCTGCACCTTCTTCCGAGCGTCATCTTTCACCCGCTGGATTTCAGAGCCACCCGCTTCAGCCAAGCTCTCAACCGCTTTGCTGCAGAAAGAGGCAAAGGGCAAAATACATGAAGTCTCACAAGCCCAAGGACACAGGGGATATTTGTATATTGAAACCTGGTTTGGAGGTTTTAGCAGTGGAGCGCAGCTACTTGTAAACCCTTGACAGGGGAATCGGTCTTTCTCTTTTGGGGGTGGTCGTCCTCTTTAACCGAGCTCGCAGCTTCGGGAAGGACACACATAGAATGGTGAAGGAGGAAGGGGACAGCTGCCTAGCCAGCCAGATTAGCCTAATCAACCCTGGAGATCACTGAGGTGATGGATGTCACAGCCAGACGGCCCTCACGTTCAACAGAGGACGTTTGTTATTCATTTCTCCCACTTTCCTGAGTCTAGCTTTTTTAAATTAATATTTATAATTTAAAACAAAGATAATAAAAAGATAAGAATCATGCATAATCTTGTCACTCAGGAAACCAAGTCAATATTTTAATAGATAGCCTTTCAGACGTTTTCCACAAAATTAAAACCATTTAGTATATGTCACTGAACCGACTTTATTACTTAATGCACTATAAGCATCCTTTTGTGTCAATAAATATAAATCTATAACATCATTTCAAAGGCTACATATTAATTCACTGCATGAAATATACTATGATTTATTAAATCAATTCTCTATATTTTATATTGTTTCTGATTTAACATCTTTGTGTGATAAAACTCATAAAGATCTGAGAACAGTGCCTGGTACAAAGTAAGCATTCAATAAACATTAGTGTCACTATTTAATGTAATAAGCAGTGCTATGATAAAAGCATCCTTGTATGTCTTCTATCCAGTGATTTCCTTAGGATAAATTCCTTGAACAGGAATCACTGGGTCATAGGGAAAATGCACTCTACTTGTAGCCAAATTTCACACCCTTGCACCAGTGGACTAGGAAAGGAGGTCTGACAAACCGATATGCAAAGAATAATATGCAACAAAAACAAATTTGTGAGATTAAGGGTTTGTACGCTTTATCTTGTACCAACTGGAGGAGAAAGCATTCTAACAACAGCACAATCAATCTGTTTGAGTACAAGGTACCACTCAGGGCATGAAGAAAGGAGATTATGCAAGCATCCAACACTCTTGCTACAGTAACATAAAATGTACAGCGCACACTGCTGAAGCACCTGGAATATTGTCTCTGCGTGACAGTCAGCGCTAGGGATGGCACACCAACACAGACCCAGGGCCACACTCACTGATGCTGCAAGGAAAACATTGCCGGATGTGAGTCTGTAAGACTCACACGCTCAGCGCTCCTCGTCAGATTGCTAAATGGCTGCAGGTTTCCAGAAAGCAGGATAAGAGAGGAAATGGCTCCACCTAAAGCTAGCTTCTCAGAAAAACTGTAAGAGAAAAAAAATCTCTTCACTGTGAGCCTCCTGTGCCCTACTTTAGGGGTATATAAAATTTTCCCAACCAAGAGCTGTGTGACCAGACATTCACACATCCAGGCCACGTGCACTTTTTACTGAAAACTATGGAAAAATCAAGAGGGCCACTACCTGCCATCTGAGTCTCAAACAAGAATCACCCGCAGACACTTTATTCACATCCCTTTTTCCTTTTGCTAGCAAAGCTTCAAAAGGCCTGGTTTCATGATACCAGACTAATGGAATTCACTGTGAAGGAAGAAAAGGAGGAACATAAGCTCGACATGAGAGAAATCTGCTTCCAAATTCCTGCTCTGTTCTATCCCCAGTGTGACTCTGGGTAAAATGCCCAGCCTTGGTAAATTACCTGTTATACCTCAGTTTCCTCATGTGAAAAATGAGATGATCACCGGTTAGAATTAATGTGCTAACACACTGGCTGCCTCTTCCTGCCGAATCTGAGTGCTCTACACGCAAGGCCGCTCCTCTGAGGCCTAGGTGGCCCTGGCCCCCACACAGCTGCTGTGAGAAGCCACCTGCCACTCCTCCGCTGGGGTCTCAGCCGAAAATAGACCATCTCCTGGCCGGAACCAAGGCCACCATGCCCACTTCCTGATTAATGCCATTAAGTGTCCTCCGCCCCTCCTCCCTCGGCTCATTCTGAATCAGTGCTGTCGCAGATTCACAGTGACTCATAATCATTTCTGTCACTCCTTAAGGGGCATCACAGACGGCCAGAAGAATTCTAGACCAGACGCCCCTCCTGTCTGAACTGTAATAACAGGATTTTTCTACTCCTGAATTTCTGCTACACGCTCACAAATGTCTTAGCCCTGGGGCTTTATGGAGCCCCCCATAAACAGCTCTCCTCTGACTCCTCCCTGCACCTCTCCACCCCGACCTACCAAAGTGCAAACAGTCCTGTTCCCATCAGCCAGTTGGAACCTTGGCGTTTTACGGGCTGAATCACGTCCCCTGTCAAGAGGCTGACTACAATTTTTAACAACTACTGGTATTATTCAGTTTGTTTGTGTTTTAGTTATACCAATAAAATATATTCTCAATAATAAATGTTCCAACTTTTCATTTATCATCTTTGTATTTTTCAGTTACCGTAGCAATAAAATTTATACTCAGCAGTATGGTGCAATTTTCCTCTGCTAATGGAATTATTACTTTTTGTTTGTGTTTTAAAGCTGCAGAGATAAAATTTACTCCCAACAATATAACTGCTTTTGTTTTTAATGTACCCTTATTGTAACTGATAAATATAATAACAAAACCAACATACAAATATGTTCACTTCACAGCAAGGTGGAATGAATTCTGCAGCCAGACCAGACTCATCTCGGTTACTAGCTTAGGCAAGTTCACCTCCTCCTCTGGGCCTCAGTTTTCTCTTCATGCAAATGGGAATATAGACTGCCTCACCTAATTGTAAAGATCAAATGCAATAAATATGTGCCAGGTACAGGGACTAAGTGGCTCTTAATCATTGGTAGTTTAGGCTGGCACTGAACTCAAGGTATAGCCCAGGCTGGCCTCAAACTTGCAGCAATCCTCCTGCCTCAGGCTCCCAACTACTGGGATTACAGGTATATGCCACTATGCCCACCTTATGTTTTCTTTTCTTGTAGAATGTGGGACAAGAGACAATATTAAGAGCTAAGGAGAAATGGGTCTAATCCAGCTATCCACTCAATACAAAGAAAGAACATTCTACAAACACTACACTCATTACTTCAACATTTCCTCTAATTCTTTCCATCCTAATTATAGTTTTCTAAGGAAAAGTTGGGGATTTTCCTACAAAATATCCCATTCCAACCCTTACGCGCCCCCCCCCCACACACACACACCAAAAATCGTAACACTGAAAAAGGGAGCTGGAGGCATTACATTAATAAAGATGTTTTCTATCAACAACTATCAACCATAGACATGCTGTGGATGCTGGGTAGTCAGGAATAAAGGGAAAGGCACATTTAGCAGTTACAGGGTAGACACTGTCACTGAACAACCATATAGATACTGTGCATATACTACGTCTACACATGAAAGATAAAAAACAGAACATGAAACTTAGTGCTGGACCTGCCATCAGGAAGTTGTGTTCTGAGCACAGTTCTGACATTTCTGCCTTGGACTCATGGCTCTTCCCTTCACCAGGCCTACACTCCCTCCCCTATACAGTGAGGGTATCCCTTGCCATTTGCCCAGCTCCCAGGATAACGATGCAGTGTAAGTAGATGTGAAGTGCTTTATAAACTGAAAAGTGCTCTGCGTAAGGGAGTGTCACTGTACGCCAGAGAAGGCTGTGAAGAGGCGGATGTGCAGTGGGGAAGCTATTTCATACACCATTTGAACCTTTATGAAGGCTAAGGTGATGGGAGGGCATTGGGCTGGGCGGGTTGAGATGAGGAAGAGATCTGCTGCGGCATCAGAGTAGCAGCAACAAGAAACGCCAGAGCATCTCTGTGCTGCACTGGGGACAAACAGGTGGTGCAGAGCAAGCTGAAGAGGTAAAGTCACTGCATCATTCTTAAACAGAGCTCCTGATCTTAACCCCGGACAGGAGTCATCCTTGACATCCCTCTTCTTACCCAATATGAACAGCTGCTGATTCTGCTTCCTGAAGGTCCTCCCGGCCCACCCACTCACTGACTCCACCGTCGGCTCTCGCCTCACCCCCTGGACTGGCTTCCTAACTCACCTCCCTGGCTCCACTCCAACTCCCTCTACCATCCACTTCAAACCAGCAAACGGTCTGAAAAACAACAACAACATAACACAACTTCTTGGTAATGACACCTGCTTATATGATCTTAGGAGAAAGACCAAATCTCCAGTGTTCTACTCATGCTTCCTCAGACCTTCCTTTCTCCTTGAAGACTTCATCCACTTACCTGCTTAATTCCAACTTATGACTCAGGTTTCATCTCAAATGTCACCTTGACAGGGACACTTCCCCTGCTATATCTATATCTACCGAGATATAGATATTTGTATATATCTACTCCAACAGCTGGAAACTCTCATTGCTCCCTGTGCTTTTCTCTTTATAATTCTTCCCCAAATTTCTATGCATACATTTATTATTGTGAGTATTTTATCACCATTACCTCCACTCGCATGAAAATAACCTTCATGTATCTGTTTCAATTACCATCGTATCCCTAGGAACCTTGTCCAGGGCAGCAAGCAGTAGCTGTTTAATAAATATTTCCTGAGTAAGTTAGTAAACTCAACCAGATCACAAGTAGCCTTCGACAGCGGGCTGGACACATACAAACTTACACACAAGCCCCCAGAATGCTCCATCCTGCGTTGGCATTGAGGCATGCACATAAGCCCTTTTGGGCTGGGGTTTCCACATGTAAATGCTTAGCTGAAAGCAAGTCCCAGCCAAGACCTGCAGCAAGCAGGGAAATTAGTATGAAACAGATCAAATTCTATTACTGATCTTTAGGCCTAGTAAAGTTGATTTGCCTTGCTCCCCAGAGAATGATGTGCTTCCAAAAAAATAACAAAAACCAACCAAAAAAAAAAAAAACTTGTTAATCCAACAATATTTATTAATTCATCTGCTCATTCAGAAAATACCACGTGTCCAAGTCCAGCATAACTCAGAAGACAAGCCTGGGCCTCTAATCTGCTCAAAACCAACACAGGCCAACTTCCAGCTGCTGGACCCTGTGGCAATGAAAGGAATTATCCTGGCCTGGTCCAGAGCAGTGCAGCTGTGCCCTAAGCCAGACTCCAAGCTCCGGCCCTCCATACCCAGGAGGAGCACTGCAACCCAGACAAGAGAAGCATTTCCACATAAGCTCCCAGACACCCTGGGTAGAGGGAAGAGGACAACCCTACCTCTACCCACTACCATACTCGATAAGTATTTCCTGAAAAAATTAATAAATCTGGCCAGATCACAAAGGGCCTTCAATAACCAGGTGGACATATGCAAACTTGTACACAGGCCCCAAACACTCTGTCCTGTGTGTTGGTACTGAGCCACGCACAGAATCCCTGGTGAGCTGGGGTTTCCACATGTAACAGAAAACTGTATGAAACTGAGCACACTTTGGTGTCTCTATTTTTCCTATAAGTGCCCTCTGTCACTGCTCCTCCATTACATGCCGCTCATCTACTGGTGTGACCACTTCTCACTCATGTTTGGGAGCGAGGCAGTGACTCTTCAAATTCTCAGTGTGTGGCACAGTAATTACATAATAAATGGTCATGAATGAATGAAGAACCAACTGATCCATGGGCTGTATTCTTTAAACTATGCTTGCTATTCAAAGAATATTTGAGTAAATGAACTAATTAATGAAAATACTCGTTTACAACGCCTTTTAAGCAACAGAACCCCTTTCAAATAAACCATTACAAGGAACTCCCATACATGTAACAGATTTTACCATCAGTTCACTCTGATGGAAGCCACTCCTCCCTCCCTGCCTCACCTTCCAGGACCTCCTCAGACATACTTGCCTTTTACAGCAAAAAGAATGAATGTAGACTCTCATTCTCAGTAATAGCTTACCAAGGAAAAGGAGTTAGACACAAAAGAGTACACATTTTACAATTTCATTTATATAAAATATGAAAACAGAACGAAGCAATCATAGTACAGTGATCAGAACAATGGTTATGTTGGCGGAGAAGGGTAAGTTCTTAAAAGCACAAAGTAGGGTTCTGAGAGCTGGTAACGTTCCACTTCCTGATCCGGATGGTGACTCCGTGGTACGTACGGTGTGTGGAAATCCATCATGCTGTACAGTTAGGACCTCTTCATCTTCCAGTAAGTGTGTTAGACTTTAAAAGCTGGTTCCAAAGAAAGTAATTAAGGAAAAAGTTAAACCTACTGGAGGGTCCTCAAAGGCCAGTTGGAGAACAAATGGCTTAGAAATGCAGTTGGTTCTCTGTCAGTGACCAGCCGAGTAGCTACCACAAGAAGCCCTGGAGACCTCCCAGTTTTTGACAGGAGGATAGGTACTCACGAGGCTTTGATGAGCAGCTGCTCTTTCTCGTGGAGCTCCCGCTTCAGACTTTCTACTTCCACCTTGAGCTCAATATTCTTCCACGCAAAATAAGGAAAGAAAAGAAACAGTGTAAGATACACGACTTGGAGCCCTACATTGAGCAAACCACTTCCAGCACACACTGACTACACAGTGCTTATAACAGTAGATGTTAGACTGGAAACCCTCATTGGCCTCAAGGCACAAGAAAAAGGGAATTATTCAGTACTGGTGATCTCAAAAGAAAGCTCTGGGTTTCTCAAGACTTGGAACAATTATGTAAATGTTCCAAGCTCCTAACAGCCGGAGCATTCAAATATCAAAGCATAAATGTCATACAAGTGAGGCTGATTTAAAAATTGTTTGCCCTCCACCAAGCAAATTTACACTTTGCTTTTACCATTCCAAGGCAATTACTTCTGGTTGTTTACAATCACACATGTGATGGCTGTAGCAGTGGGAACATGTTACAGCTTAAAAAAAATAATAATGGATAAGTAGGAAGCCACATCATGGCCTGTCTTATTCCAGCATAAGATTTCAGGGCACTCATTTATAAAAAAGCCACAACTAAACAGGGAACGCTGTCTCCAAAGGACACTCTGGTGTTCTCCAACCGTCTTTCTCTTAACTCACTGGAACAAAGAGAGTCACACATGGCCCTGGGCTTACAACTCAAGTGAGAATCCAAATACAGAATCTTTGGCAGATGGAATGCAACGTGAGACAGTGGAGCAATAGTGGGCCTCTTAAACTTACCCACAAATGGATCCCAGAAGGAATACTAGGTGGATTCATGCAGTAGAGACGGGGGCCTGGGTGCATGGTTTGGAGAGGACTGCTGTAAATCTAAGGTTTCTCTGAATTCTCTCTCCTATTTAATAATTCATGCTAGTTTTACATTCTACTTATAACATTTATATTATTTTAAATAAAAATCACATCTCCAGTACAATTTACCATCTCAAAGGCCATGCCACCCTCCTTCCTCACAAGCACCCCTGGGAGAGCAAGTACCACAAGTCAAAACCATGGCCCGAGTGGAAAGGCCACGGGCACAGGACCAGAAACTCATGGGTTCAAAGTCCAGGAAGAGACGGCAGTAAGTCAGTACACACTCTTCCATTCACTCCTTCCCTCCACATCTACCAAGCAGCTGTGACGGGCCTAGCACTGAGGACAGTCGAATGAATAGGATAGGCATCGGCCCTGCCTGCATGCTACCGAGGAACACAATCTGGAGGTGTGACACGGTACCCTGTCCTCAGAAGTACAAGTCCAGGAGGCGGGAAAGCGATGTTATTCCTTTAGGACACCCCCAAGAATCAAGGGAAAAGGCCCACACAACACAGGAGATTTGAGAACTCACTACGCCAGCAAATAAGAAAAGCCTTGATTGTTTCCTTACTGTCAAACAAGAAGTAAAGAAGTCTATATGAGGCACAATTTTTTCCAGAAGAAACTGACCTCTGCACAAAGGATACTGAGTGGCAGTAGAAAATGACTTCAAGACTGCCCCGTGAAAGCTGCAGAAATGCCCTAAAACAGAAGATTCCTTTTCCAGCTCTCACAAGGGCAGAGAGCTTCAGGGTTGGAGCTGATACTATATAGTCTAAGAGCTCTGCCTTCCTACAAATCAACTGGCACCTCAACCTACCAAATTTAAAAAGAATAGAACACTAACACGTTCATTAGATTACTTTGCTCAAGGGTAATATCCCAATCATCATGTACCTCTCTATATAGACATAAAATTCCTCTGCATAAGGAATAATATTGGTTAGATCTAGGATCTAAGCGTGGGAGAACATCTTTTCATTGTATACTGTCTGTTTTTTAAAACAACTGAAAGGGGGGGAGTAATTAAATCTGGCCATCTAGTCAGATACTGGAAAAGAATAGCTGAAGCAGTACAGTCCAACGAGACAGGCAGGTCTGGGCTGAAAATCCACCTCATGCAGTGCCTATCCGACATCAAGCAATTACTGATCTTCCTGATTCTCAGTTTCTTCCTGAGCCTCAGTTTTCTCACTGTACTATGAGGACAGTCTCCACTGCAGAGGGCTGTCCTGAGAACCGCAACAAGAGGACAAACATAACAAACACCCAGCACAGTGCCTGACACTGTGGGCCACGGATACACTTTAGCCCAGACATTCAGAGATGGATGACTACTTACATACACACAAAATGCTTTAGACCACTGGTTTTTCTCTGCAATTCTGATTGCACTGCCACACCCTTCCAGAAAAGGAAATATCCTCTTTGTCTTTCTACCCCACACAGAAAAAACTGTGCCTTCAGGAACAAGGGAGCTTTTTAACACTTGAAAAGGATCCGGACAGAACAATCCCTTTTCAAGAAAAGTCCATTTAAGTTCCTCTGCTGAAACTCAAGGAGAGCTCTCTTTCCCGCTTCAAAAGTTTCCACTGGTACAAACTTCAGAGGACAAAAGACGGAATTATTCCCAGGCCAAGGGCTAATCTACCAGAAAAAGCTAAGAAATGGGCACCAAAATATTGTTTGTACTCATGTCTTTTCAAGAAAGCCAAGTTCTTTTTTCAACTTGCAGAACCAAGGTTTGTTTTCCTCCAGGTCAAGACTTCAAATAGGAATAGGCTTTCTTTCTGACAGTTCTAGGCAAGCACAAAAGAATACAGAAGAGTCAAACTACAGAAAAACTGACAAGCTGAACTCTGGGCGGCCAAAGGAAGCCTCTCTAAGACAGTGACAGTAATTGTCCGGCATTGACCGTGTGTGGAGCTTTTCAGCTGTCATTCCATTTTAATCCACACAAATGACCCCAGGACACAGAGATTATCACTCACCGCTGGGGGCAAGCCCAAACAGCTGAAGTGACTTGCCTAAAGTTAGCCGGGTTAGTTGGTTAACAGGATCCATTCCCAAGCCATTCTAATAGTCCATTGCCTGTTTCTAAATAATGAGTAATTATGAACAAGCAATTGAGATAAAGGCAGTGAAACAGAATTCTGATGTTAGAAAGAGGCTAAAAAACATCCTTAAAATTAATCATGTGCCTCTTTGCTTAATACGAGGGTCGCCCTAATATCTTTATACTCATCATAATCAACCCAAATTAAATGAGAGCAGCTCCACCTATTCATGCTAACTCTGAAAACAAATATCAATCAAGTATCTGCCTGGAATGACTATGAGAAAAGAAAAGGAACAGCAGAGTGAAGTGGGCCACTCACAGTTTTATAAATGTGTTCAGTGGGGCCATCAAATTCCTGCTGCATTCTTTCTTCAAGGAAATAGATGCGGAGCTTTAGGTTAAAGTTTTCTTTCTTCAACTCAGTGATTTGCTGAAAAATAAGCACAGAAGGGTTACCTACATTAAACAAGAGACATAAGTGCTAACAAATAGCACCTACATTAATCCCCACAGCTTCCAAGGCTACCAAATGAATTCGAATGTTGAATACTAGAGCTTACCTTTGCTACAATTATACCCCCCAGAAGAATTAAGTGGTTCCCACCAGCCAAATTTAAGATAATGAATAATGACAGGAGTGAATGATGCTTGACTAAAGAAAGAATTCATGACTCCACACTGATGACACAGGAAGGGAAAAGGAGGAAGAGAGGAATTCCTTCTTTACATAAGAAATCCAGTTAATCAATATAGAAAAATAATAGAACAGAACATCATCATTATACAACCTCTATAGTAATAACCGATTAACGTAAGAAACATCAACACTAAACACATTACACGAAAATCACTGTAGAATAGTATATTCAGTCTCAATATATCCTCCCACAGAGGACTTACTGATTACAAAAAAAAAAGTACCATTACAATTTAGAAATCTTGAAAATAGTCCAGGATGATAGTTACCTTTCAGGAGAAAGAGTAGGTGGCATTTGGGAGGAGCCAGGGAGGAGACTTCTGGGATGTTAACAATGTCCCATTTCTTGTCAGTGGCGATAGTTATAGAAGCATTTTCTTGGTTGTTTTTTTTTTTTTTTTTTTTGATAATTCATTGAACTGTTTGCATTTGTGTGTGTTCTTGTAGGTATGCTATACCTCAAAAAGTATAGCAGTCCAAAAAGTATATGAAGTCCAATACTCCATGGTTAATTTAAATTATTAAAAGTCAACTAATCTATGGTTAAGTTATGGTACTGCTACTTGGTGATATATTATAGAACCAATAAAAAGAGAGAATATTTTGTATACTCAGCACATTTTCTCAAAATATGTGGTTAAATAGAAATACTACGATATAGACCAGTGGTGGCGAGCCTACGGCTCATGGGCATGCCTCAGCGATTGTGACCACTGAATACTCTGAAAGGCTCGCCATCACTGATGTACACTATTATATCATTTAAATAAAAAATGGGGGAGAGAAGGTGTAAATGGAGAACATAAAAGTGTTGATCAAAGGGTATAAAATTTTGGTTAGACAGAAGGAGTCAGTTTTGGTGATCTTGCACAAAACTGTGACTCAAAAAATAATTCATTGTATACTTCCAAAATGGGGGTAAGCTTGAATGCATGCTTATTGGCTTGATATAATGATACACATTGTGAAATATACTATATACTTTTTTATCTTTGAATTGTTTGTTTGTTTCTTTGTTGAGACAGGGTTTTGCTATGTAGTTCAGGCTGGTTTTTAACTCACTTTATAGCCCAGGTTGGCCTCAAACTCGCAGCAATCCTCTTGCCTCAGCCTCTCAAGTGCTGGGATTACAGGCATACATCACCATGCCTGGTCTTACCTTTTGAATTTTATATCACATAAATTTCTTAATAAAAAAGTTAAAAGAATTTAATAATAGACAAGTGCAACCTTTTTTTAAGACTGTCTGAACTGTCAGAAGTGCTGATGATGTTTTACTAAATCCAGTGTGTCTGCCCACACTACAAACCATGCGTCTGTTGTTCCCTTCTTATTCATGAAGTCCCTACCCAAGCTCACTTCTCAAAGTTAATGCAGAATGGCCTGGGGCTTTAGAGACAATATTAAGGTCAATCTTAATTTTTTCATGCTGCAACCCTAGACACGCTACCTCTCTGAGCCTCAGTTTCCTCATCTCTAACATAAGGACAATAAAATCAATCTCACGGGTTTTTGTGAGACAGAAATAAATGCATTTGACTATATCAAAATGTAAGATTCTTTATTGTCAAGGGAGTGATTTGTAATATGTAAAGCCATGTCCCAAGACATTATAGATATTCTGAGTAGAGGAACAGAAAATATAAAAGAGAACCAAATAGAAATTTTAAAACTGAAAAATACAATACTAAAAAACAAATTGAGTGGATAGTCTCAAAAACTTAAACTTATAGAGAAATCAACAAGTTATTCAATACAAAACAAAGGAAAAGAAAATTTGAAAAAATTAACATAGCTTCTCAGACAATACCCCAAAGTTCAACCTTCATTAAAGTTCCTGAAAAAAATAGAAGACAAATAGGAGAGTTTTACAGAAGAAATGTCTGAAGAAATAATAATTTAAAATGTTCTAATTTTGGAAAAAGGCATATAACATACAAAAGAAGCTTACCAAATACCAAACAGGATAATCAAAGGAGACTCAAAAGCAGCCTGAGAAAAATGACACATTACACGTGGAGAAAGGAACAATGATTCAAATGACAGCAGACTTCTCATCAAAATCATAGAGGCCACAGGCAGTGGAACAACATTTTTTTTTTTTTTGGAACAACATTTTTAAAGGGCTAAAAAAAAAAAAAAACTGTTATGCCAGAATTTTATATCAACTAAAATTATCCTTGAGGAATAAAGATAAAGACATTTTATAATGCAAAAAAAATTGATTCATCAGCAACAGATCTGCTATAAAAAGAAATTAGCTGAGCATGGTGGCACACGCCTGTAATCTTAGCACTTGGGGCTGAGGCAGGAGGATCACCACAAATTCAGGGGCTACACAGTGAGTTCAAATCCAGCCTGAACTATATAGCAAGACCTTGTCTCAAATAATAATAATAATTTAATTTAATTTAAAATAAAAAGCAATGATAAAGGAAGTTCTTCTGACTGAACAGAAATAAACAAAAAGAATCATGGAGCTTCAGAAATGGAAGAAAGACAACAATAAATGATAAATATCCAGGCAGCTATCCAGAGAAGCAATTCAAATGAAAAGTCCAAAATTCTTTAAAATGTTTATGACAGTTGAAAACAAAACTACAATGTAGTCTAGTGGGATAATACATACTGGAGGTGGGCAGTAGCAACAATTTTCCTTATGGTGAAATGAAAAGTTAAGTGTGTATATATATGCATACTTATATTTATACTTTGTAATCTCTAAAGCAATCACTAAAACTTTTAATAGTTTTTAGATAAATGATACAAAGAGATATATCAAAAACTTACCAGAGAAATTTAAATGAAGTGCTAAAATAATCTGAAAGAGGTTTGAACAGAGAAACAGAAGAAGGAAAAACAGAAAACAAGTAAGAAAATGGTAAGTCTAAATCACAATATATTGGTATGTTAAGTGTAAATGGAATAAACATTCCACTTTAAATATAGAGAATATGAGAACAGATTTAAAGAAAAAATTACATGCTATACAGAAGAAATTTACTTTAAATATCAGAACAGAAGTGGTTAAAATTAGAAGAATTTTTAAAATGTACCATGTAAGCACTATTAAAAGAAAGCTAGCATGGCTATTAATATCAGAAACTGTAGACTTCAGAACAAAGAAAATTATTCAAAGATAAAGAAATGTATTAATTATAATTAAAAAAAACAACTCTAATGTGTACATGCCTAACATTATACATACCTTCAAATTCATAAAGTAAAAGCCAACAGAAAAAGAAAAATGGGCAAATCTCCAATTACAGTTAGAAACATCAGTACTCTTCTTTCATTAATCCATAGAAGTAGAGCAAAAATCAGTAATATAGAACAACTGAACAATAGTACTATGAACTAATAGGATCTAATTTACATTTATGAAACACTACCCAATAAGTACAGCGAACATGAAACATTTCCCAAGATATCCTGGATCATGAAACAAACCTTAACAAATCTGGAAGAAATGAAACCAAACTATGTTTTCTGACCATAATATAATAAAACTAAAAATCAGTAACAAAACTGAAAAATCCCCAAACACTTAGACATTAAACAACACATTTCTAAACAATCCACGGATCAAACAGAAAGCCTCAAGAGAAATTAGAAGACATTTTGAATTAAACAAAAATGAAAACACAATACATCATAATTTATAGGATGCAATTAAATCAGTGCTTGGGCGAAATGTATGCTATCAAATATTTTAGAAACAAAGGTCTAAAATCAACAATTTAGTCTTTCTCAAAAGAAGAGCAAAATAAATGCCAAATAAGGAGAACAAGGATATAATAAACATCAGAGCAAAAATCAGGTAAATAGAAAACAGAAAAAAAATTCTAAAAGTTGGTTATTTCAAATGATCAATAAACTGATATTAAAAAACTCTAGCAAGGCTACCAAAGAAAAAAGAAGATACACACACACATTACAAATATCAAGAATAAAAGAGGGCTGGAGGTATAGCTCAATGGAATGAAAAAGGGTCTACTAATACAGATCCCATGATAATTTAAAAAAACATAGGAATAATGCATGTAACTCTATGTACATAAATTATATACCTTAAAGTTTTCAATTCCTTGAAAGCCTCTGATTATTGAAACTTACGAAAAAAAAGATAACTGAATAGTCATATAATAATTTTTAAAACTGACTTTGTGGTTAAAAGGCTTATATAAAAGGAAATTCCAGATGGAGATGATTTCAGTAGCAATTCTTACTGAATCTTTAAAGGAAAAATAACATCAATTCTACCCAATCTCTTCCAGAAAACAGAAGATAAAGGATCTTTTCACTTCATTTTATGAAACAAACCCTACTCTGACACCAAAACCAGACAAAAGCCATTACCAGAAACCTACAGGCCAAATCCTTCATGAACATAAACACAAAAATCTTCAACTAAATTTTACCAAATAAACAGGTTAACCACTCATGCATAACGGTTATCCTAGCAATATAAAACTAATTCACAATTTGAAAGTCAATTCACATAATTCATTATATAAACAGCCTAAAGCATTTAAAAAGATATGACCATATCAACAGGTGTAGAGAAAGCATTTCACAAAACACAGAAGCCAATCATAAAAAAAAAAACTCACTCAAACCATAAATTAAAGGAACCTACTAAGCACATCAACAAAAAATGTGGAATATCTACAGAAAACATATTTAATTAAAGGTGAAAAAGTGATCACTACTTCCCTAGCATCAGGAATAAG